GCTGATGCTCTTCCACTGCACCACAGCCCCTCAAAATCTACCTGTGACTCTGCTGGGAATCAAACCCAGAATCTTTGAATCTCTTCACCCTTCACCCACCCAACAGCCAGTTTGGTGTGGTGGTTAAGTGTGCGGACTCTAATCTGGGAGAACTGGGTTTGATTCCCCACTTCTCCACTTGCACCTGCTGATGTGACCTTGGGTCAGTCACAAGCTCTGGCACAGCTGTCCTGGAAAAAGAGCAGTTTGTGTCAGAGTTCTCTCAGCCCCACCCACCTCACAGGGTGTCTGTTGTGGGGAGGGGAAGGGAAAGGAGTTTGTAAGCCACTCTGAGACTCCAAGTGAAGGGCAGGGTATAAATCCAATCTCTTCTTCTTCTCTAGAAGCCCAGTTGTCAGCTAAGCTGCCAATAGTGTGGTGTGTGTTTCCATTTCATGTGCATTCTTTTCCCTTGTGCTTAATTGCCTCTTCGCTGCAATGCATATCTCTCAAGGCCACTGGAGGAGTTGCTGTGTCTCTGCACAGAACGAGTTACCTGTTTTGCTTTTGCAGCCGTTAGTTCTCAGCCTACTGCCCGCGCGCGGGAACCCCTGTAATTGGGTACTACGTGGGGAGGGCTGTATATGAAATTATGTGCATAGATCACCCGCCATTCCTAACAGTGTTCATGTTAATGCATCTATGGCTTTTCAATAAAGTAAAACCTTCCTGGAAGCGTGTACTTCGTTGTTTTGCTGTGGGTCCTGACAGCAGTGTACTATCCACTGTGCCGCAGAGCCATCTAACTGTCCTTAGGAGGGCACTGCGATTCACCGAACTACAACTGGATCTCCCACAGACTTCTTTTAGCAGGGAGCACAATATTAATAAAAGCATGCCAATTTGAGCTGAACCCTGTTGGGGGGGAAAGGGGGGTGGTGTTTAACCCTTTCCCCGCTGCATCATTTCCCCTCCTAAAATCCTTCTCCCTGACCAAAGTCACCGTTTGCCCTGCTCTGATCCATTTGGTGCCTGGCCCTCACCCAACACTACAACTGCATTTCATTAAAAAGAACAAGGTTCCTCTATTTAACATGGACTTTGGCTCTTAGATTAACAGGAATTATATTGTGTTTTTCTTAAAGCAGACTATAAACCGTGCATTCAGCTCCTGCAAAACAGGCTTTACATTCTCAAGACGTCTGATCATGGTCTCCCCACACCCACCCCGCAACCAGAGTCGACAGCCAGAGATTTCTTTACAAGTACAGTCGCCAGCAGGCCTGGAGAAAACTGCCCTGTCTCCACTTAATGTGTGGGAAACGGGAAGCTGATGCTTTTCATGGCATTCAGGTAAACAACATCCCTAAGTAACATCCCGTCCCATTATGTCTCTATTAAAGAGACATTTTTCTCCATGTCTGTTGTCCACCCTACCTACAAGCAGGGGAGAAGTACAGTTCATATCTCTCTATGTTTCCAAATGCCAGAATGGCAGGGGCCAAATATCCATCCCAATACATGGCACTGTGTTCATTTTGCATGTGTATTTTCTGCCCCCGGCAACTCCTTAAGTCACTTGGCCAGACTGCAAATTAATCCGGTACCAACAAGACTCAGAGGACAAGGACCATCACCTTACCAATTACAGCATACAGTGTACCAAACACAATGTGCTGCATGGCCCAGTGATGTTTTCTGACATAAAACCAAACAGGCCTCAAAATGTTGTGTAAAATTGCACAGGGTGGAAAAAAAATGTATTCTTTGCAAGTTACTTGTGCGTTACTCTCAAGATAGCCAGTCTGGCTGGGTCACAAACAAAAAAGCAAATCAGGGCATTGAAATCACATATCTGAAAATGGAATGCTTCAGTCTGCTAGACGGCAAACACAATGGGTGGACTAAAACTATTGGGTTCTTGAGCACAGCACTGATAAATAGTCTCCTAACTGATGGATGCATGTGAAATGCTAAATGTTTTGTGATTAGGCCACCATCTGCCGAAAGTGACTAAATGCATTTGCGTTAGCAAACAGCCCAGCGCTCCCAAAATAGCTGAAAAATGGAGTGACCTTTTTATTCTGTCCAGGGAAGAGCTGGATGTAGCTCAAAGGCTTGTGTCTTGTTACAGCTGCTGCAGTACAAGTTGTTACTTTATCTGATCTGAAATGACGGCTTACAAGAGTGGTGTTTTTAACTAGGTAAACTTGGCCCAGTCACTGGCTTGGGTCCCTTTGAATTTACAAAGATTTCCAATGCCAAAGTATAACTTCTTCACCTCTCCTGCTCCTGCGGCAACCCCAAGTGTCCCCACCCAATTCTTCTCCTGGGAGACCGGAGACCCCCAAGTACAGTGCAAAGGGAGAGTCAGATGTCTGCTGTAGGACCTTCTACTACCAGAAATTATTGGCAGGAGGGCCCATGGCTCAGTGGCAGAGCATTTGCTTGGCATGCAGAAGGACCCCAGTTCCATCCCCAGCATCTCCAGATGAAAATATCAAGTAGGAGGTGATGTGAAAGACCTCCACCTGAGATCCTGGAGAGCCGCTGCCAGCCTGAGTAGACAACAGTGACCTGCATGGACCAATGAACTGATTTAGTATAAGGCAGCCTTCATATGTGTAAAACCCACTATCTCTCAAATTTTCCTCACACGGTTGCTGTGAGGGTATCTTTGCATGATCCTATGGATGCCCCTCACCGTGTCCCCACCCAATTCTTCTCCTGGGAGACCGGAGACCCCCAAGTACAGTGCAAAGGGAGAGTCAGATGTCTGCTGTAGGACCTTCTACTACCAGAAATTATTGGCAGGAGGGCCCATGGCTCAGTGGCAGAGCATTTGCTTGGCATGCAGAAGGACCCCAGTTCCATCCCCAGCATCTCCAGATGAAATTATCAAGTAGGAGGTGATGTGAAAGACCTCCACCTGAGATCCTGGAGAGCCGCTACGAGCCTGAGTAGACAACAGTGACCTGCATGGAGCAATGAACTGATTCAGCATAAGGCAGCTTCATATGGTCCTATGTGCACTATCTCTCAAATTTTCCTCACACAGTTGCTGTGAGGGTACCTTTGCATGATCCTATGGATGCCCCTCACCAGCCTCCTTGGGGAAGAAAAGATATGGATAAGATCAAGAAATAAAAACACTAATTCTGGCGTTTTCTGAGAAAAAAATATTTGTGATTAAACAAACCAAAATAAAAACAACACACAACAATTAGACTGTCAGGATAAGCTGTCAGCTTCACTGGTTAACATCCAAGTGAAACTGTTCAGTTTTTCATCCAACAGGTTACTTGCTCGTGGGGTGTCCCAGAAGTGGATGAATTGCCTTTGGAAGGCAGCATCATGTGACAGAGACCACGCACATTCCTGATGGGGCAACCTGGCTTTAGAACTCAAACTTTACAATCCTTGCTGTCAAATCAACAGCAGATCTCTCAAATGACCACAGACAATGTAAAACAGACAAGTATAACATCGTTACGTCTCTGCATCATTAAAAAAAGTATTTTAAAAACTGATCATAAGCACCAAAGGAATTTTTACAAATGAGTAAATAACACCTAATTCGGTCCCCCCCCCCCAAGAATTATCACCGCATGGTAGTATGCATTTCCTCCAACATGTACTAAACCACATTGACCAATGCACTCACTTCAGATAATAATGTCTGCACATTTTGACTCACCAGAACAGAACTGTGCAAGTAAGGCCATTCAAGTTTCTAGTCCCCAGACATTTTTTTCCCTTTCCTGGTAACTCATGTGCTTTCATAGATAACTCGCTGGGAAATGCAGGCAAGTAGCTACTAACAAGCCTGTAATAAATCTGTAAGCATCTCTGTTTCTGTCTCAACTGGTTAAGTAACACTTCCTGATGGGGCAACTCGGCTTTAGAACTCAAACTTTAGACTCTTGCAGGTTCCTGATACAATCCTTGCTGACAAATCAACAGCAGATCTCTCAAATGACCACAGACAAAAACCAGACAAGTACAACATCATTATGTCTCTGCATCATAAAAAAAGTATTTTAAAATCTGATCATAAGCACCAAAGGAATTTTTACAAATGAGTAAATAACACCTAATTCAGTCCCCCCCCCCCAAGAATTATCACCGCATGGTAGTATGCATTTCCTCCAACATGTACTAAACCACATTGACCAATGCACTCACTTAAGATAATAATGTCTGCACATTTTGACTCACCAGAACAGAACTGTGCAAGTAAGGCCATTCAAGTTTCTAGTCCCCAGACATTTTTTTCCCTTTCCTGGTAACTCATGTGCTTTCATAGATAACTCGCTGGGAAATGCAGGCAAGTAGCTACTAACAAGCCTGTAATAAATCTGTAAGCATCTCTGTTTCTGTCTCAACTGGTTAAGTAACATTACATGTGGGTCTGTAGAATCAGCCCTCTGTAAGATATTGAACAGCTACAAATTCTGAATTTGTGCAGGTTGCCATTTGGAATGGCCTTAACATGCAGTCTCCAACACAGAGAAATGGCTATTGTCTCAGATATTCAGCAGGTGTATAGAAACAGAAGATTCTGGGTAAGCCTTAGTGTCGCTTTCACAAAGCAAGGAACTCATATTGCACACACAGGTGTCTATATATGCCACGAGCAATCCTGCACACAGCTGGGAAGCTTCAGTGGAATTTAAGCAGCCCAGCAGCACAAAATTGCTGTCATAATGAACAAACAGGTGTAAAGCTGTGAACGTAAATGAAATAGGCAGGTGAGGAAAGGGCTACAAAACTGAGCCACCCATTGTGCACCTTTTGGTAACCCTTTTCAGCAGTGCACTGGTGCAATATTGACACACACACACATTCTACTGTTGCCTCCGTTCACCATCTTCACTTCTTGAAAAAAACCATGCTGGCCTAGAGACAACAGAGGGGTGCAACAAATGAGTATGTGCACCACAATCAACACAGATGCTGTCATCGCTCGTAAAGACTAATGTCCATCACCAGAGAAAAGAGGTACCCTGAAAGAGGAAAGCTCAGAGATCATCAGATGCCTCCTCACATTCTTCATTGAGCACGATGCTTACTTTCTTCAGGTCCAAAGAGCGGTGGGCTGGGCTTTGCAAAAGAGACCCCAGGATGCGAGTGGCCCTACGGCAGAAGGTCCTTAGCCGTGTCACAAGGTCCTCATTGGCCATCAGGTACAGGAGGGGGTTGAGGGAACTGTTCAGGCTGGCCAAGCCTCGAGTCACTTGGTAGGAGACGTAGATGTTTTTTAAAGTCTGGGTACAAGATCCCTGGAGTTGCCACCTGCGGGACAGCAAGTTAAGGTTCCTGAAGACGTGGTAGGGTAGGAAACAGACGGAGAAAAGCACCATCACCAGAATCGCCAGTCTGATGCTCCTCCGCTTGAGGTTGGGGTCCACGTTGCTGTTCCTCTGGAGGGCCACGACCACATGGCAGTAGCATCCGATGATGATGAGAAAAGGGATGACAAAGCCGGTCACGGTGATGGCCAGGGTATAGGGCAGGTAGGTGCTCAAGTTCTCGTGGCCCGTGGTGTCATGACACCGAGTGCCCGTCTGGTCCATTTTGCTGAAGATGAAGTCTGGGGATAGCTGGAGGATGACCCAGCCCCAGACCAAGACGCTGAGCAGGAAAGCAGGACTGAGTGTCTGACATCTGCCCAGCATCCTCAGTGGGTACACAATGCCCAGGTAACGATGCACACTGATGCAGGTCAGGAAGCCAATGCTGGCGTAAAGGTTGAGGTGAAAGAGAGCCCGGGTCAGCCGGCACCACTCTTTGCCAAAGAGCCACACGCGGCCCTGGAGGTAGTAGGACACCAAGAAGGGCAACGTGACCACGTAAAGCAAGTCGGCCACACTGAGGTTGCACATCAGCACACTGAGGGTACTCCAGCTGCTCTTCCAAGAGCTTGCGCACAAGTTCCACAAGCCCAGCCCGTTCCCCAGAAGTCCCAGCAGGGACACGACCAGGTAAACAGAGGGCAGGAACCACTCGGCGAATCCCGTGTTCACGGGACACACAATTTCAATGTCTGCGCCGGTGCCCAGGCTGGAGTTGGCCAAGCCACCCGCCCACGTCTCTTCCTTCAAGTTCATGGCGAAGGCAAAGTGGGCAGGAGAAAGAGGCGCCTGGGATTCGATCCTCCGAGGATGTGCAGTCAGGGAAACAAGCAGCTGCAGCAGGGGGAAAGCCAACAGGTGCCGATTCTCTGGATTCCCAACTGAAGATGCAGCAAAGAAGACTCCATCAGTGGGCGGTAAAGGGTGGCCGCTTAGCTCTGGATGCAGAGGAAGGGCCTTCGACCCCTAACAGAGCGGAAAGGGGTACTCTGGGGGAGACAGGAGGGTATTCGAAGCAGGAGAAAGGAGACGAAGGCTTCATGAGGCAGAGTTGTGGGCGCCTGGAGAAGGAACGAGGTGCGGGAGAAGGGCGCAGGAGGGTTTCCTCGACGGGGTTGCACAGCGGAGAATTCCTCGAAGGCGACGGGCAGGAGGAACCCCACACTGCTGAGGCGTGGCGCCGTCTCTCTCCTGCAACCTCCAGATCTCGATCCTCCCCGGCCGCTCGGAGCCTGGCCTTGGCCACCGCGGATTCGTCTTCCGACGTGCTGATCGGCGTCGAGGGCCGTCGGCAGAGCTGCGAGAACCGGCTCGTGGGAGTTGCTCGCCGGACTGCTGAGAGGCTGCGGCGCGCCGGGACTTCAGGGCTGGGCTGGGCAGGGCAGGCGGGGCGGGACAGAGGCAGGAGGGGGGAGGGGCCCGAGAACGAGAGCGGGAGACGGAAACCAAAAATGAGACGGCCGGAGCGGGGCGGGGATCAGGCCGGCGGGCGGGAGAGGGAGTCCGCGAAGAAGGGGAGCCCCTGATCAGAACCTTAAAAACCTAAGTTTTTAAACCCCAGACAGACGGGGGTCTTGTGCAGTGTTCCCTCTAAGCTGAGTTAGTGTGAGCTAGCTCACAGTTTTTTAGCCTCCGGCTCATACATTTTTGTCTTAACTCAGGAAGGGATTGCTCCAGAGCAACCTAACTTATGCAGTAGCCAAATCGCTCGCTCACAACTTTAATGCCAGGAGCTCACATAGTAGAATTTTGGCTCACAAGACTCCACAGCTTAGAGGGAACATTGGTCTTGTGGCGCCTGCCTTGCAGGCTAACAGGACTTTCGTCCAAGCATCGGCATCGTGGATCTGTCGGGCCCCTTTTTCAGATCGTCTGAGTGGATCCTTCCCGTCGTGCACACTTTTATATGAAGAAGAAGACGAAGAACGCGCCGTCGAGTCGCAGCCGACCCATGACGATCCCGTCCACGCGGCGTTCCAGCAGGCCAGAGAGGGGCAGAGGACGTTTGCTCGTGCCTTCTGCCGCGTAGCGACCCTCGTCTTCCTCGGGGGGCCTCACATCCAAGGCCCAACCGGGACAGACTCTGCTGGCTTCCAAGCTCTTGCGGAGGGCGCGCTGAACGGGGCTACAGAAGGTGGAATGTGGATAAGAGGGTCAAGGCAGGGGACAAACAAATGCGGAGCGAAGCGCAAAATTCGGATCTAACGAAGAAAAATACAGAGGCTCGTTCACTAGTTATGCTAAGCTGGTTAAACATCTGTACTGTGTGGGGAGAACTAGGTGTTGCTAAAATAGTGAACCATGACAGTGAGTTGGAAAACCCAACGTTGGTTTCTCCTGGGTGGGGGAAAGGTACAGTGAAAGCATATGGAGCAGAGGTCCATCGGTGGCTATTAGCCACAAGGTATAGATAGGAACTCTCAGTCTGGGGCAAGTGATGCTCGGTATTCTTGGTGCTTGGGGGGGAGAACAGTGGGAGGGCTTCTAGTGTCCTGGCCCCACTGATGGAACTCCTAATGGCACCTGGTATTTTTGGCCACTGTGTAACAGTGTTGGACTGGATGGGCCATTGGCCTGATCCAACATTGGCTTCTCTTATGTTCTTATGACTGGCCCAGGGTTGCCCAGTGAGTTTCATGGCAGATTGGAAATATGAGCCCAGACCTTCCAGATTTGAACCCCCACCCTACCATTACATTATGCCACTGGAGGCAGGAACGCTTCATATGCTATCAATGTAGGAGAATTAACTAGTTATCTCTGATTGGGACGTAAGTATGCAACATGTATCTGTGCTGAAAAGCTACAATTATCACCCTGCATCAGATAATCACACCTGTGAGTGACATATTGTAATGTTTTCCATGCTGGAATTTGGTAACTTGTGAAGGTCCTGCTAAACCACGTGAAAGCGTCATTGCATGAAGGAAGGAAGGTTAATTCCAACTACAACAGGAGCTGAACATCAAGAAGACAGAAGTAATGACTACTGGGGAATTACATGACTTTAAGGGTGATGGATGAAGAAATTGAAACTGGTCAAAATTTTCTGTTCCTTAGCTCCATCATCAACCCAAAGGGAGACTGTACTCAAGAAATCAGAAGACTGAGACTAGGGAAGGCAGCCACGAAGGAGCTAGCAAAGATCCTTAGGAGTGAGGGTATGTTAATTCACATTATACTATTCACCATTACTATGTATGAGTGTGAAAGTTGGATAATGAAGAAAGCTGACAGGAAAAAAGTAGATTCCTTTGAAATGTGGTGTTGGAGGAAAGTTTCACAAATACTTCACAGGGTAGCCATGCATCAGAAGCAACTTGATGGCAACACACCCACACAGAGACCATTTGGAATGCTGTGTCCAGTTCTGGTCACCGTATCTCATAAAGGACATTGCAGAGTGAGGAAAAGAACAGAAAACAGCAACCAAGATGATTAGGGGGCTGGAGCATCTTCTGTATGAGGAAAGGACTTTTCAGTTTAGAAAAGAGATGACTAAGAGGGGACATGATAGAGGTCTATAAAATGATGCACAGGGTGGAGAGAGTTGACAAAGATAACTTTTTCTCCCTCTCCCAAAATACTAGAACCTCAGGGCATCAATGAAGTCAATGGGCAGTAGATTCAAGACAGACAAAAGGAAATACTTCTTCATATACTGGGTGATTAAAATGTGGAATTCACTGCCAGAGGATGTAGTGATTGCCATAGGCATAGATGGCTTTAAAAGGGGATTAGACTGCTTCGAGGATAGGTCCATCAGTGGGTGCTTGCCATAAGGACTAAAGAGAGCCTCCACGTTCAGAGGCAGTAAAAGCCTTGGTGGCACAACACTTGAGAGAATGTCGTGCCAAGGGATAGTTTAGACTAGCTAGCTAGACTAGCTCCTGCCTATTGGCACATCAGCTCATTCTGTCATGCACGAGTACCAAAAGAGGAAATGGTATGATTATGCCAGTCTCAAGGGTTGTCAAAAAATTGCTATATGTCACAATCCCTTTTCTGGAAGATAATTGGCCTCTCAAACGTGACCAAATATAGTAGTGTTGGGTTTTTAAAAATCTCCACTTGTCCAAGATTAAGACTTGTATATTATCATGTTTTCTGCTTTAGCGCATAGGCTGTCATGGCCCTGACCGGTGAGCAATTGCTGCATACCTCAATCTCCTTTCTGGAACTCTGTTTGCCATGAGGGTAATAAAATATGACAGGTGGTTTCCAGGAAGTGCTTCTTGTCAGATTCTAGTGCTGGCACTTCAGCTAATTCTGGGCTTTCAGAAGATCAAAAATAAATAGTGTTCTCATTTGATTTCAGGGAGTGTTCTATGTTTGCCTGAAACACTATTAGCCTCTTTGGTCCAAATGCTGAAAAATGTGACCCCTGCTGGGTTTTTAAAACTCTTCTTGTCAATCAGGCCAGATCTGAAGTTTTGCTTGCCCTGAGCCAATGAGCCTCCCTTCTCCCCTCCCATAGGGGGCCTTCCTCCCTCATACGTGTGGGTCACAAGTGAAGAGCCAGCACGGTGCAGTGATTAAGGTATTGGATTTCGACCTGGGAAACCCAAGTTCAGATCCCCTTTCTGCCGTGAAAGTTTGCTGGGAGACCTTGGGGCAGTCACTCTCTCTCTCGGCCTAACCTACCTCACAGGGTCATTGTAAGAATAAAATGGAAGATTAGAGAGAATGATCACCCTCCACAGCTTCTTGGTGGAAGGGCATGCATCAAATGAACTAAATAAATAAATCCATGCTCATATAGAGAGGCTTGGAGCCTGGTCTTGGGAGGCGATAGGATGGCTGCCACTGAAGGGCTGGGCTGGGCGGGCTGACTTCACAGGCAGTGCTGGGCCCTCCTGATGGCCATTGGTTGGGTGTCATGCACATGTCGGATCTTTTGTTGCTTTGTGTGAACATCTGATCCTGTACACAGGCTGAACAACCACCAATTATGCATGGAATGTGGAGAGTTGAAGAGAAATTTTTCTCCCTTTCCCAAAATACTAGAGGGAATCCAATGAAGCTGATGGGCAGTAGGTTCAGGATGGACAAAAACAAATACTACTTTACACGGAGAGTGATTAAAATGTGGAATGTGCTGCCAGAGGATGTAGTGATGGCCACAGGAATAAACAGCTTTAAAGGGGGATTAGACGGATTCCTGGAGGATAGGTCTATCAGTGGCTACTAGCCAGGGTGACTGAGGGGAGCCTCCACATTCAGAGGCACTAAGCCTCCGAGTTCCAGAGCCAGGAGGCAACATCAGGGGAAGGCCTCAGTCTCTATGCCCCATTGTTGGCCGTCCAGAAGAACTTGTTGGCCACTGTGTGATGCAGGATGCTTGACTAGATGGATTACTGGTGTGATCCAGCAGGGCTCTTCTTATGTGCTTATCAAGGGGGTTGGCTGCCTTCTGCCTCCTCTTGCTGGCCACAGATGTCACTATCTATTTCTTACACATTTGTTTGTTCTAGACCTGGGATCTAGGATACCCATCATGGTCTTATGAGCCAGCTTTATAGGTTTTTAGAAATTTCTACAGGTATGCATTTGCTCCCCAGAGCACTAGCTTCATCTAAAAAGGGGCTAGATCCAATCAATGTTTCTGCCTTTGACCACCAAAAAGTCTATGTTGGGGAGCATGGCACCTGCAGGAACAAAAGGCATGTGAAAGAAGGACTGTAATAAGGAGAGGAACGGTGTGAAAATGCTGGAGCTTGGACCAAACACAATGCATTTGGAAAGTATAACAGCTG